AAACAAATTGTTATTAAAAATTCCCACTAAAAACAGGTAATTTTAATAAGCGATATCATTGAATAAAACAAAAAAATTGTAATCAATAAGTGTGACAAAATTGACGTCATTATTTTTTGCAAACAAACATTTTTCAATATTTCAAAAAAAATGGTATTTAGACGTCACTAATTTCGAAAAAATATTTTTATTTTATGAAAAAAAAATCCCCCACCAAAAATAAACACTTTTTTTCAACTAGAAAATCGTATTTTTAAAATCAAAAAAATATTGGTTTTCTGTTATTAAAAATTTAAATTATATTCGAATGACGCGCGGCGCATGCGTTGACGTTCAAACACCAATTGATTGGAAAAAATTCAAACAATCGTTGTTTGGTCCACATTAGGTCTGGGAAGCTGTGTTGGCTGACTGGCTGGCTGGCTGTTAATTAACATTCTGAAACGGCTGACTGTTATTTTTTTCTGTTTTGCCTCTGACTCTGGTGAATGTTAGCCGGTAGTGGTGTGAGTATTTGTTTTTTGCCCCTCGACTGCACCCCCAGAATGTTAGTTCGCCACCACTTAGTTCGCACACCTGTTGATTAAGAGGCAAAACGTTTGTGATTATTTTAAAGGCAACTACCCCCATTAATTTGTTGCTAACGCCCCAACCTGCCTTTGTTTAGCCTCTCTGACGCCCAGTTAATACCATGTTTATATTTTGTTTGGCTTTTGCATTTGTGATCGTGAATGTGAAAGGGAGATTCCGTGATTAGCGCACAAGTTCACAGAATCTCAGAACCCGTTAAAGAACAAAAGCAAAAAATACAACAACAACAATCAGAGTTAAAAGTAGTGTAATTTAACACACACACATATTTCTTGTTTTTGTTGTCATCGATATCGATTTATAATAACCAATATTATTATTGTTTTTGTTGCTGTTGTAGATTTGTATTTTTTCTGTAGAAATGTTTTCATTATGAATAACCCGTGTGAGTGTGTCTGACGTTAAACATTTCAGATTAAAAAATATTTATAGTTCTTTATTATGAAAAAAAATCCCATAACGATTCTAAAAATGATTTACATTTGGGGAAGGTATCCCATAGATAATATTTTCAAAAATGTATATGACAATAAAAGAAAATGTATTTATCCCATAAATTACTAAAAAAATAACATTAACAAGTGAAAAAGCGGTAAGTTCGGCCGGGCCGATCCAAAGTTCGGCCCGCTTTTCACCATCCACCATAGATATATTGACAGGTACTAGAAATGAAAATATAGGGAATATACCAAAAAGTGGACCTATACCGACATTTCTAAAAACGGATTATGTAAACCATAATACAATTTTTAGATATTTTTAAAGGATAAGTATATCCTCAGCCTTATGGCTAATGAGGGTGTATACACTTTAACACTGTGAAATGTGTCTCATATTGGTTCTAGATCCCATGTTTCTTTGGACCAAATCCGTTTCAGAAAATTTTAATTTCATCCGAACTTTGCCCATCTTATTGTTTCTTCCAAGTTTAGTTCAAATTCTGGAACTTCCAATCAGGGGAACCTTACGTTCTAATATCGTCCGCAGATGAAATGATTACAAACGAGTCTTAGAACCAAACTCAAAACGCGGAACAAATCAGACAACTAATTTAATATAAAAAAGGGGGATATATGGGGACTACCCTAAAAAGGGGCGAATATTAATAATTTTTGGTAGGGAGATTCGGTTAACAAAAGCGCTCAAGAACCCCAAAATTACCGAAAATGGGGGGTACCCTTATATGGGTGCTATCCGAAAAAATTGACCTATATTCATAATTTTTATGGAGAGATTTGGAACCTATTAGGAACCCAATGTACCAAATTTCAGCGTATTCGGTTGAAAAACGCGCTCAAGAACCCCAAAATACCGAGAATTGGGGGGTCCCCTATATGGGGGATATCCGGAAAAATTCACCTATATTTATAATTTTTTTGTGGAGAGACTTGGTACCTATTAAGAACTCCAAATAATAAATTACAGCCAATTCGGTGGAAAAATACGATCCAAACCCCCAAAATACTGAAAATTAGGAGGCACCGTTATATGGGGGCTACCAAAAAAGTGGACCTATATTTATAAGTTTTTGTGGGAACATTTAGTACCCAATAAGAACCCAATGTACCAAATTTCAGCGTATTCGGTGGAAAAACGCGCCAAGAACCCCAAAATACCGAAAATTTGGGGGTACTGTTATATGGGAGCTATGCTTAAACGTGGACCGATATATCCCATCATCGAACTTGACCTGCCTGCAGACAAAAGACAACCCTATGCAAAATTTCAGCACCCTATCTCAATTCCTTCAGAAGATAGCGTGATTACAACAGACGGACGGATAAACGGACGGCCGGAAGGCCATGGCTAAATCGTCTTAGAATTTTACCCTGATCAAGAATATATATACTTTATAAGGTCGGAAATGAATATTTCGATGAGTTACAAACGGAATGACAAAATTAATATACCCTCCATACTATGGTGGAGGGTATAAAAATTATTTTTTTAAATTCCACTCCCAACCACTCCTCTTGGATATGGTATAATCTTCTCGGGTCTATGTCCTTCAGGAGTAAATATATACGCCATAGAATAAAGATTTTGTAATTTTTCACACAAAAGTCAGGGTCCATTTGACCCGCTAAATATTGACCGATCTTTATCAAAACAGGTATGCTTATTGTTTGGCCCGATCCCCTTGAAAAACTGTTTTTTAAGTCCTCGCCTCTAATACATAAGAGGTATTTTGGACGGACGAAAATATATATGGGAGCTATATCTAAATCTGAATTGAATAGATATATAGGGACTTTGCTGCACCATTTACCATAAATCGGATGAAAATATATATGGGAGCTATATCAAAATCTGAACCGATTTTTCCCAATTTCAATAGGGTTCGTCCTTGGGGAAAATAAATGAGCTGTGCCAAATTTCATCCAAATCGGATCATAAATGTGACCTGTACTTTGTTTACAATTTAACATGGACAGATGGACGGACATGCATAAATCGACTCAGAAAGTGATTCTATGCATATTTTCAAAAGGAACCATGTATATATCTCGATTCCTTTTGCCATCCAAATCCAAGTCCCCCGAAAAAAATATTTTCAACCCAAAATCCATGTCTCTAAAATTCATTGAACCAATTTCCCTTTTGTTCTAAATAACAAAATTCAGTTTTTTCCTAAAAGCCCACAAATCGTTATTATAATTGTCAACTTCCATGTGCTGATTCCAAGAATAAAATGAAATCGACAAAATTTCCCCACATTACAGAAATCCCCATAATTTTTTTTATTATTTTGCCCTGCAGAAAAGGGAAACCATCATCCGTGTCCAAAGTGGTGTTAAACACCTCCTTCAACAACATGTTAACACCGAACACAATACTGTTACTGCTCTGTTTGGTTTTGTTGTTGTTGTTGCTGCTATTCGAGTGACGACAAACATCTGGGATTGACTGACTGACTGCTACTTGAACTTGATACAATTATTGAGCGTGTGTGTGTGTGTGTGGAAATGGCCAAAACGGAAGGTAAATCCCAGAAAATAAAGATTGGCCTCTTGTTGTTGTCGTTGTTGCTTTCTTGTGAATCATTTTTGCCAGAGCGCGCATGTGTGCTCATATTGCCATCTCATTTGGGGACGAGTTCTCTTCTTACGCACGAGGCTTGTTTTGTTATGAATTCGAAGCAGCAGCAACAACAACAAGAAGAACGGTTATCAAAACCAAAACAAAAACCCCCATCTGTTGGTGTGACGTAGTTCGTGCCAGCAGCCGATGTACTCTCACACGAAAAAGATGCTGTGGAGTAAAACACAGCACAGACACATCTCTCTCCCCTCTCTCTCTCTCTCTCTCTCTCCCTCTTGAAGCATTCTGTTGGTTTCAATGGCAAAGGCAAAATCACCGTTTTTAAGCCAAGTTAACATATTGGGGAGGTCTGTTGTTAACAGGTTTTTTTGTTGTCTTTCTTTTATTCATTTGTTGTTGCTGCTGCTGTTAATTGTCTGTGGGATTGGTGGTGTATGGGGAACAAGTGTGTGTTGCTGACTTTGTTGGCTGTTGTTGAGTAGTTGAGTGGAAGGGGCGGAGTGGGAAGAGAGTCTGAAGTCAGTGTTACTCATTTGAATCTAACTCTCTGTTAATATTGCCAATGTTGTTGGGGGTTTTCGTTGTGTTGTTTTTGTTATGGTTGTGACGGCACGGCTTAAAGGTTCGTTTACGTTCTACAGCCAACCAACTGTTGTGTTAACAGCAGCTGCTACGGCGCCTGACCGTTTAATTCAGCGTCGAGGGTATATAAACATTGGGAGCTCGGACATTGAGCATGCATTGATTCGCTATCACTCGCTCTATTAACTTGCTTCTTTGGTTAGAAGGAAAAAACGTCCAAAACAGCGTTTTATCAGTTTTTAACTAAATACAAAACAAAATATTTATTTAAAAAATTATTAAAGAAAAAGTAGTTGCTGCCAACGTTTGTTGTAATTCATAGCTAAACGTGTTTGAAATCGAAAATAAAAACAAGTGTTGAAAAATTAAAAAAAAATCAAACAAGGATTAACCGTGAAAATCGTAAAAAACAATCCATTCTTGTGAAATTTTGAAACCTGCCCGTTAGCTGCTAGACAACGAACCACAACGCAACGAGATCTACAACAAAATTTTTGGAGCAAATTGCCTGCAATAACAAATAGAAGCAAGTCCTTAAATTAATTTTGAAAACCAAAAAATAAGCAGTGAAAGAAAAATTCAGTGATTTTTCCAAAAGGCTTATTTTCATATCAAGAAGAAAAATAACACAACCAACAACAAAAAGTATTAAAAGTGTTCCCAAATACACTCTAGTAAATTTTTGACTACAAAAGGAAAAATCTTAGGTCCAAATACCTATCTACGCCAACTTCTACATACCTAGAAAAAATTTAATTTATTTTTCTCCAAACCCCAAAACCACAAAAACTCTTAACAAAATGATGGCTGTAGCTGCTGCCCAAAAGAACCGCGAAATGTTCGCCATTAAAAAATCATACAGTATTGAGGTAAGTTGAACAAAAAAAAAATTAGATATTTGGAAATTAGAAAAAAGTGAAAAAACAAATAATTGTTTTTGAAAAATCGAGTGATTTGAAAATATCCCTTCAAAGGATAATTAATTTTCTATTTAGTTTTCAAAAATATAAAAATTATTTGATCGAAATTTAAATATTTTGAAAATGGAAATTGATATTAAATAAAAAACATATCAAAAAATTAACTAAATTAATGGTATAAAATTAATAAAACGTATAGGAAATCTTGTAATTAAAACAAAAAGTGAAAAATTCAAAAATATAAATTTTTAAAATGTTTTCCAAATTTTACCAATGAAATGTTTCTTTAAAGAAATTTTGCGATAATTAAAAAATAAATTTTTTCAATTTAATATTTTTTGTTAAATAATTAAAATATTACAAAAAATTAATTTAAAAAAATGAAAAATAATTTAAAAAAATATAATTAAATTTTAATTAAAATCGAAAAAATAGGAAAATATATTTCGAAAAAGTTCCAAAAATTTTGAATACAAAAAAACTTTAAAAATATTTAAAATTTAATTCAAATCCATTTTTGAAAGAAAAAAAATATTTAAAAATCTGTAATTTTGTAAAATTTTAATTACTTCAAAAAAATTGAGAAAAATAATTTTTCTATTCTATTTCGCAAAAATTCTTCAAATTTATTTTTTTTTCTTAAATATTTTGAATATTAAAAAAATGAATTTAAAATTTACGGAATGGTTCACCAAAATTAAAATAATTTCTATAGAAATTTAAAAATATTGAAAATCTTATGACTAACGGATATTTGTAAAAATAATGCCCTTAAAATTTAAACAACAAAAAGTAAAGTTGTGTTTTATTAAAAAAATATTTGTGTTAATTTGAAAATAATTTAAAAAAATATCAATAAATTACTTTATTATTACAATCGAAAAAAATAGGAAAATATGTTTCGAAAAAGTTCCAAAAATTTTGAATACAAAAAAACTTTAATTCAAATCGATTTTTGAAAAAAAATATTTAAAAAATCTGTAATTTTGTAAAATTTTAATTACTTCGGAAAAATTAAGAAAAAGGATTTTGCCTATTCTATTTCGCAAAATTTTAAAATTGTATACATATTGAGAAAAAAATATTAAAAAAAAAATCCTTATATTTAATTTCATAAAAAATTGCTTTAAAAAATTTAAAACAATCATTATTTGAAAAATAGAAAAAAATATTTCTTTTTTGGAAATTTCCTAAATTTAAATTTAATTTCAATTTCAAAATTTTAAAATTGTATACATATTGAGAAACAATATTCAAAAAAATCCTAATATTTAATTTCATAAAAATTGCTTAAAAATTTAAAACAATTATTATTTGAAAAAAATAGAAAAAAATTTTTTTTTTTAGAAATTTCCGAAATTTAAATTAATTTTTTTTAAATATATTCTTTAATTATTTTAATTCTTTTAAAGGATAGTTTTTTGCTTTTTGATAAAAAATATTCCTTTTTAAATTCTATTTTTTTAATTGAATCATTATTTGAAAAATAGAAAAATATTTAAAAAAAAATATTTAAAAAAAACTTTAAAAATATTTAAAATTTAATTCAAATCGATTTTTGAAAAAATTGTAATTTTTTTTTAATTGAATCATTATTTGAATAATATAATAATATTTTTTGCTTTTCGATAAAAAAATATTCCATTATTTAAATTTAATTTTTTTTTAATTCAAAATTTCACTTTTTAATTTCCATATTTTTTCTTTTCTAAAAATAATGTTTTTTTATTTACAACATATATTAATATTTTTGCCAAAAAAATATCAATTTTTTTATTACATAATTCCATTTCCAAAAATAATTCCAGTTTGATCCAAAAAAATCACTGACATTTATTGATCACATATTTTTTTCACACCAAACATTGACATACTTTTTCTTGTCAGTTGGTGAGACTATCTTGCGATAGCGGTTCCTCCTCCTCCTCGTTCCAAAACCTAAAATATTGTTTATTTTGATATCATAAATTGTAACTGTCATATTGAAGACCATAAACACAGCATACCAAAAAAAGAGATAAAATATTGGAATTTCAACATATTTCCTCCCAAAAAAAAGTCTTTCTTCAACACCTCAATTTTGATTTTGAAAATGAAATTTAAAATCGAAAAAAAAGCAGTTATTTATGGTGGCAAGGTGGGGTGATTATTCATGAACTAAACAAGTTTAAAGATCCATCAATTGATTGGCTTGTTATGCTCAACAACAACAACAGCAACAACAAAAAACCGTGAGCGTAACGAAAGGTGATAAAGTTGTTAAGTTACCGGTCATCTGAAATGCCCTATTAATAATGATGAACAACAACAACATTTCACCTCATCTATTTCATGGATGATGCTGGGCTCTGATGCTCTGCGCACGCGTACGTGCCAAAGTTGTCACCTATTTCCAAAGCCGGCCACCAACACAGTTTTTTGTTTTGTTTTGGCTTTTTTTTTTTTGATTATTTGGCCATCGATTTTTATTTCAAAACCCATATATCTTCCACTCTGCATGCAGAAGAAGAAGATATTAATGATTTGTTTGTTGTTGTTATTGTGATTTTTTTTGTTTATTTCTGTTTTGTTTTGATTACGCTGTTAAAAAAGTTTATGTTTACCGCTTTATTAACACCTCTGGAAAAGGTGTTTAAATATATATGGGCTGGTATGACCAGCAGTTATATGCCCCCTCTCACTCTCATCGTGCAGGCAATGATGAGGCCAATTTGGTGTTATCGATCTTTCGATCGACCATTACCACTCCAAAAGTTTTTTTAGTTTTTTGTTTTGGGTTCACATAACAATGACTTTGACATTTAAAGAATTTCCCTTTATACTGGTCAGATACCTGTCGAATAATCAAAATAAAAAAATACATAATTACCAACATTTATGGAATGGGAGGTGAAAATCTGGCATTGACTTTCACTTTTATTTTTTTGATTTTTTTCTGATAATTTTTCTTTTGTAATCCGGCCCATATGATAAGGCCCTCATTCATTCACTCATCACAGCTGAGGTGTTAATTTGTTAAATAATTATTGAAAAAATAAATTTGTAGCGGACAAAAAAAAAATTTGCAAACGATTACAACATAAAGATGTGCGAAGAAAAAAATAACTCAAAATGGTCTATTTTTTTTCATTTCAAAAAAAAAAAAAAAATAAATAAATTAAGAAAAATATCTGGGGTCGATAATGTAGTACATCGATATCGATAAAGAATTGTTTTCATTTTAAATTAAGAAATTTTGAAAATACCCATTTGGAAGGATTTTTGGACATTTTTTGAAAAATGTCGATAAAACGGTCCACTATGAAAATCCCAAAAATATATAGAATTTCAATAAAAATATTTTTTTAATGTATAAACTACGAAATACATAGTAAATGGCCTAGTTTCGAATTTTTAACCAACGTCGATAAAACAGTTCCACGCGGTTATCCACAAAAAATTAAAGAAATATATATGGGGTCGAAAATGCTTTCATTTTTAATTCGAAATTTTTGAAAAATACCCATTTGACAGGATTTTGAAAAATGTCGATAAAACAGTTCACTATGAAAATTCCAAAAATATATAGAATTTCAAAAAAAAAGTTTAATGTATAAACTACGAAATACACATTGAATGGCCTAGTTTCGAATTTTTAACCAACGTCGATAAAACCGTTTCCCGCGGTTACCCACAAAATTAATTACATATTTTTATTTTATTAATATTTTTTTGACATTCATTTTTATTACAATATTAAAAAAATATTTTCTTTATTTTTTCATTTTAGAATGGTTATCCATCTCGCCGCCGCTCCTTGGTGGATGATGCCCGCTTTGAAAGCTTGGTTGTCAAACAAAACAAACAAATTGTTTTGGAAGAGGCCCGCACCAAGGCTAATGGTAAGTTTTCGAGAATTATTTAAAACATTTTTTTTAATTAGGGAGGAAATATTAAATTTTCTTAGTATTTTTTTTTACAAAAAAATATATTTTTTTATCAACAATGTTAATTTTTTTAAAAAATATTTTTTTTATAAAAAAAATCAATTTTTTTATAAAAAAATTTTTTTAAAAAATTAAGCCTCCTTTAAAAAATTTTTTTTTAAAAAAATTTTTTTTTATAAAAAAAATTTTTTTTTAAAAAATTTTTTTTTTTAATAAAAAAATTATTTTTTTTTTTAAAATTTTTTATTTTTTTAAAAAAAAATTTTTTATTAAAAATAATTTTTTTTTAGAAAAAATAATATTTTTTTATTAAAAAATAATAATTTTTTTATTAAAAAATAATAATTTTTTTATTAAAAAATAATAATTTTTTTATTAAAAAATAATAATTTTTTTATTAAAAAATAATAATTTTTTTATTAAAAAATAATAATTTTTTTAAAAAAAAAATTAAAAAAAATAATAATTTTTTTTATTAAAAAATAATAATTTTTTTTATTAAAAAATAATAATTTTTTTATTTAAAAATATAAATTTTTTTATTTAAAAATATTTTTTGTTTAAACAAAAAAATATGTAATTGTTTAATTTATTTTATTTTTGTTTAATTAATTTTTTATTATTTCTTTTATTTTTGTCAATCCCAAAGATGGTTCCTTGGAAGATGCCATCATGCAAGCCAAGGGCGAACATGTACCCACCCAAGAACAAATTGAATTGCAAGATGAACAACAGCTAGAAAATCTAGATGTTGTCGATGATATTGAACAAAATGATTTTGAAGGTATATTAATTTTTTTTTAATTTTATTTTTATAATTTTTATTAATTTAATTTTATTTATAATTTTTTTTTCATTTTATGTTCATTTATTGTTTTGGGGAAAAAAACAGTTACAATTGAATCTGAAATGCCAGCTGAATCTGAATCAACTCAGGAATCTAATGATAATAGCGATGAATCTAGTGATAATAAACAAAATACAGATGGTAAGCATAATAATTTCAATAAGAAACACCGTCGAGAATGCGGTTTTGTCCAACTTTTCAACAAGTGAGAATATTAGGTCAAATTTAACCATTCTCTGTGAATTGTGAGTTTCTTAAACTGATGGCATGCAAAATTTGGTTTATTCGAAATTTTAGAAAAAAACGCCGATAATGCAGTGTTTATTAACTTTTGAACTACGGGGAATTTTAAAGAGATTTTTGCATCTTAATGCGAATTAGAAGTCCATTAATAATATTACTTTATAAAATATGATTTTCAGGCAATTTTAAAAATTTTGTCGATAACGCAGTTCTACCTAACTTTTGAACTACTGGATATATTAGGGAAATTTCAACAGATTTGTGTTAATCATAAGCTTTTCAACGTAATAGAATATCAAAATTTGACTTCGGAACCTTTTTATAACAATTGTCGATAATGCAGTGTTGCCTAAATTTTGAACTACGGGGACGTTGGGAAAATTTTAACGTTTTTGAGCACATATTGAGCTCCTTGATGATATAAGTGTTATACGCATTTTTAGAAAATTTGTCGATAAAGCGGTTTTGTCTAACTTTTGAACTATCGGGACTATTAAGAAAATTTAAATAGTTTTCTGCTAATTATGGGTTCCTTAACATTATAGTATGAAAAAATTTAGCTTACTTGCAATTTTAGTATAAATGTCGATAATGCAGTTTGGACTAACTTTTGAACTACTGGGAATATTAAGAAAATTTCAATAGATTTCTTCTAATTATGAGCTATTCTACCTGAAAGTATGACAAAATTTAGCTTACCTGCAATTTTAGAACGCTTGTCGATAAAGCGGTTTTGTCTAATTTTTAAACTACAACGGATATTAAGGAAAATTTTAACATTTTTGAGCTCACAATGAGCCCCTTTGCATTATAGCATGTCAAAAATGTGAGTTATACGTATTTTTAGAAATGTTGTCGATAAAGCGGTTTTGTCTAACTTTTGAACTATCGGGACTATTAAGAAAATTTCAATAGTTTTCTGCTAATTATGAGTTCCTTAACATGATAGTATGAACAAATTGAGCTTACTTGCAATTTTAGAATAAATGCCGATAATACAGTTTTGGCTAACTTTTGAACTACAAAGGATATTAAAGAAATTTAAACATATTTGAGTTCATAATAAGCCCCTCAGCATTATAACATGTCAAAAATGTGAGTTATGCGCATTTTTAGAAAATTTGTCGATAAAGCGGTTTTATATAAATTTTGGCCTACTGGGTATATTAAAGAGCTCCTTGATATTCTACAATATTAATAACATGACTTACCTGCATTTTTAGAAAATGTCGGTAATGCAGTTTTGCTTAACTTCTTAACTACTGGGAATTTTGAAGGAATTTAAGCGAATTTTCACAGGGTTGGTATTCAGCAATTTATCTGCAATAAAAAGAAACAAGAAATTGCATTGTCGATAAGGCAGTCAAAATACTTCTTTTGAAAAACATTAAATTTTTTCATTTAATTTTTCTTTTAAATAATTTTTATTTCACCTTAAATCTGATTAATTTAATTTTAATTCAGTTTTTCTTCCAATCAAATTATTTAATAATACCTTATTAAATCTCTTAAAATGATAAAAACAAATCTCTTCACTTCTCAAATGTCAAATAACAATCATAATTTAGTATTATCTTAAGACCTCTTAAGAGTTTTTTTATATTTTTCCATTTCAAATCCCACAATACTTTTTTAGGTTGTTAAGTTCTTTTCTTTGTTCCCGTTTTTCTGCACCCAAACCCATTACTATGATTTCAAATGGAAAATTGTTCATTTCCGTTTCGTCTTCCGTGCCATCAAATAAATTCATACTCTGTGTGTGAGTGTGTGTGCTAATGTCATAATTCTATAAAAATGAAAAAAAAAACATCTTATAATATTACAATCAAATATAATACCCAAGCATGACGAACAAACCACCACACACAAATGTCATGGTAGGGGGAAGGGGAGTGGGTTGGCCGCAACAAGTCCTTCCGCAACACTTAAGAATCACTTTCTTTCATTTTTTGCACTCTATTAACTCCCACACACACACATTTGTAAAAGCCTGTACTTGACTTAATGTCCCAGAGAGGAAGGCGATTGGGGTGAGTAACTACCTCACCCCCTCTCTCACTCTGCCGGCTCTGTGAAAATGCTTGGCAGTTAAAAAGGTTACGTTTCATTTCATTCGGGTTTTTTTATTGTTGAGTGGGTGTTAAGCGTGAACAATAATCAGATTTGTTCTGCAGCCACTTTTCGCCATTCATCATTCGCACAATTGGCATAAAAGCTTTTCCTTTTGTGGTTGTTGTAAGGCTACGTGCCTTGCATTCCTCGGCAAATGCATAAAATTTTAATCCTTTTTGTATTTTTTCTCTGTATTTTTTAGATGCTGGTTTAACTGAAGATGAAATTGTTCTGGCCAATGCCGCCAGTGAATCTCCTGAAGCCGAAAATGCCGTACAAAATGCCGCCTTGATTGTACGCCTCAAGGAGGGTATCACCTCTTTGGGTCGCATCTTGAAGGCCATTGAAAACTACCATGGCACCATTCAACATGTTGAATCACGCCAATCCCGTTCCGAGGGTGTTGATCACGATGTCCTCATCAAGTTGAGCATGACTCGTGGTAATCTCTTGCAATTGATTCGTTCGCTACGCCAAACCGGCTCCTTCAGCAGCATTAATTTGATGGCTGAAAACAATATCAGTGTCAAGGCTCCCTGGTTCCCCAAACATGCCTCCGAACTGGATAACTGCAATCATTTGATGACCAAATACGAACCCGATTTGGATATGAACCACCCCGGCTTTGCCGATAAAGTCTATCGCCAGCGTCGTAAGGAAATTGCCGAAATCGCTTTCGCCTACAAATACGGAGATCCAATTCCCCACATTGAATACACCGAAGTGGAGGTTAAGACCTGGCGTTCTGTGTTCCGTATGGTCAAGGAATTGACACCCAAGCATGCTTGCATTGAATACCGCAATGCCTTCAAGAAATTGGAAGAAGAGAAAATCTTTGTGGAGGATCGTCTGCCACAATTGCAGGAAATGTCGGACTTTTTGCGTAGAAATACCGGTTTCACTTTGAGGCCAGCTGCTGGGCTGTTGACAGCTCGTGACTTCTTGGCTTCGTTGGCATTCCGTATCTTCCAATCGACACAATATGTTCGTCATGTGAATTCACCATTCCACACACCCGAACCGTAAGTATTGAGAAAAAAAAATTCTTTATTTTTTGGGGACTAAAAATGCCAATTATTTGTTGGAGGAAGAGGGGTGTGGGGTTAAAAATTTTCCCCAAAACTATTTTCCATTTCCTTTTTGGCTTGGGAAATTTGCTCACAAAACTTTTCTCGGAAAACGGAAATATTTTTCTCTATGGCACAGATAATGGCCTCGACAAAATAAAGTTTATGGTTTGGAGGGGGGAGGGTTTCCTTCGAAAAAAGAGGAAACCTCATAATTGGACTCTAGTTTGCATTACTCCGCACTGGAGATAATCAAAGGCAGTCAAGACAATTGACACAGCAAAGGGGTGTTGGTTGTTAGCAGATATTGCCACAGTGTTAGTGCCACTTTTTGTCTTGTCGAACTCCATTAGTCTTTGTAATTGAATTATTTAATGGCACTTGGTTACAATGATGTTATCGATGTCCTGCTCCACCTCCTACATCACTTCGAACAATATTTCAACACTTTAGTACACAAATAATTTTATTATGATAATTTTGTTTTTTTTTACTAAAAAATAATTTTTTCTTCTTCTTCCTCTTCTCCTTTCCAGTGATTGCATCCATGAACTGTTGGGTCACATGCCCTTGTTGTCCGATCCCAGCTTTGCTCAATTCTCACAGGAAATTGGCTTGGCTTCATTGGGTGCCTCCGATGATGAAATTGAAAAATTATCTACCGTAAGTATTAAAGAAAATTATTTTTTCTTAATTAAAATTTTGTTGTGAATAGAAAAAAAAAATAAAGAGAGTAAAGAGAATGGGTTAAAAAGAGGAGCAATTAAAGAAAATGTCAGAGAATTTAAATCAAGAGTCGATAAGGCAGTACTCGAAAAAAACTGATATATTTTAAATATCAAAAAAAGAAATTCAAAGTTTATTACTGAAAAGGCAGTAATAAAAATTAAGATTTTCGAAAAAATTCCGATTTTAAACAAATTCAGATTTTCGAAAAAATTCAGATTTTCGAAAAAAATCAGATTTTAAAATTCAAAGTGAACCCCAATAACAAACATTAATTTGGCTTTTATAAAAGGCAGTAATAAAAATTAAGATTTTCAAAAAAATTCCGATTTTAAACAAATTCAGATTTTCGAAAAAAATCAGATTTTGAAAATGTCAGATATTTAAAAAAATCTACGATTCTATAAAAGGCAGTAATAAAAATTCCGATTTTGAAAATATTCCAATTTTAAAAATATTCAGATTTTGGAAAAATTCCGATTTTCGAAAAAATCAGATTTTGAAAAAATTTAGATTTTCGAAAAAAATCATTGTTTTCCGATTTTGAAAAAAATTCCAATTTTAAAAACAATTCAGATATTTGAAAAAAAATCAGATTTTCGAAAAAATCAGATTTTGAAATTCAAAGTGAACCCCAATAACAAAAATTAATTTGGCTTCTATAAAAGGCAGTAATAAAAATTAAGATTTTCGAAAAAATTCAGATTTTAAACAAATTCAGATTTTCGAAAAAATTCAGATTTTGAAAAAAAAATGATTTTGAAAAAGTCAGATATTTAAAAAAATCTCCGATACTATAAAAGGCAGCAATAAAAATTCTGATTTTGAAAAAATTCCAATTTTAAAAAATTCAGATTTTTGAAAAAATTTCGATTTTCAGATTTTGAAAAAAATTAGATTTTCGAAAAAAATCATTGTTATCCGATTTTGAAAAATGCCAATTTTAAGAAAATTCAGATATTTGAAAAAATTCCGATTTTCGAAAAAATCGGATTTTTTACGGATTTTTTTCCGATTTTCGAAAAAATCAGATTTTCGAAAAAATTAGATTTTCGAAAAAAATCATTGTTATCCGATCCCATTATTACAATATTTATTCTTTTCGAAAAATCATAATTTCGAACATCGAATTGAAAAAAATCAGATTTTGAAAAAATCTGATATTTAAAAAAATCTCCGATTCCATAAAAGGCAGTAATAAAATTCCGATTTTGAAAAATTCCGATTAAAAAAAAAAAATAAGATTTTTGAAAAAATTCTGATTTTTGAAAAAAATCCGATTTTCGAAAAAATCAGTTTTTGAAAAAATGTAGGTTTTCAAAAAAAAAAAAAAAAATCATTGTTATCTGATCCCATTATTAAAATATTTATTCTTTTCGAAAAATCATAATTTCGAACATCGAATTGAAAAAAATCAGATTTTGAAAAAATCAGATATTAAAAAAAAATCTCCGATTCTACAAAAGGCAGTAATAAAAATTGCGATTTTGAAAAAATTCCGATTTTTGAAAAAATTTCGATTTTCGAAAAATTCGGATTTTGAAAAAAATTAGATTTTCCAAAAAAAAAAAAAAATCATTGTTATCCGATCATAATTTCGAACATCGAATTGAAAATTCAACTTTTAAGCTATTTTCATAAAATAGAAAATATATATTCAAAAATATTTCCCACCCCAACTTCAACCGATTACCAAAAAAATAAATTACAAATCGTGTTGAATTTTTTATTTTTACAAATTAATTGGCCACTTCTTTGTACATTCATTCATGAATATTGAATTTCAGGCCTTGTCACTTTTTGTTTCGAATTTTTTTTTCAATTTTTTTTTTTTTTTGAACAATTAAATTTATTTTTTTCACATTACATTGAATTAACCTTTAGAATGTGGCCACCACAGTTTCTTGGGGCTTTCAAACAAGTTTTCATGGCAATGGTTGGGTGTGCTGGTTGGTTGGCTGGTTGGCAATCGAACAGGCTGCCTGCATGATGGCTGGTGGCTGGTTTTAAAGTTCTAAGCCAAGTTTAAGTGCAGCTACTTGAATTGCAGTCAAGTTCTCTGTTAAGAGGCAAAAACAAAAACAACAACAAAGCAATCATTTAAAACTAAATTGCTCTTTTTTTCTAATCTTGACTTAAATTGGCCAAAGTGAAAAACATTTTGGACTCAAGGTCTTTTGTTTGTTAAAACAATTCTAATTTTTTTGTTGCTTGGCATTTTATTAAAAAGTCGTTTCGTTTCGTTTATCTCTTTCTAGGTCTACTGGTTCACCGTTGAATTCGGTCTCTGCAAGGAACACGGCGAGGTGAAGGCCTACGGTGCCGGTCTCTTGTCCGCCTATGGTGAACTTTTGCACGCCATCTCCGACAAGTGTGAACATCGTCCCTTCGAACCCGCCTCCACCGCTGTCCAACCCTATCAGGATCAAGAATACCAACCCATCTACTATGTGGCCGAAAGTTTCGATGATGCCAAGGACAAATTCCGTCGCTGGGTGTCCACCATGTCGCGTCCCTTCGAGGTGCGTTTCAATCCCCACACCGAACGTGTAGAAATTTTGGATAGTGTGGAGAAATTGGACACCCTGTTGCATCAGATGAACACAGAAATTCTGCACTTGACCAATGCCATAAACAAATTGCGTCGTCCTTTCTAAATCCAGCCAGACACAAAATGACTTTTAAGGAAGGAGAGAGATAAATACAGAACTTAAAACACCTGAAAAACAACAACAACAAAAACACCAATCAAGCAAGCAAACAAGCAAAAATAGCAAAAACAACAACAAACAACCATTCTCAAAGCCAAAATGGCGTAACTCTCCCTTTGAGTTCCACTTTCTTAGTTCTTTTTGTGGAGGACCCTCAAGGCAGGTTCTTCTTCATACAGCTTTAATTATAGGCTTGTGAATAATTCAAAACTATTCCTAGTCCTAAATAATATAGCCAATTGCGTTATGTGGCAAATGAAAAGGAGTTAAAGAAATTCAAAAAATACTGAGTTACGTTTAATTTATTAGCAAAAATTTAGAAAAAAACCCCAACAACAACAACTAAATATCCAATGAAAGTATTCTTTTTTTTAATAATAATTAAGTGTACAATAATCTACTTCAACTCATAGGAAAAAAAACATCAAAAATATTCAATCACCCTCCACCACCACCACCCTCACACTCACACCCAGTTCGTGCAAAATACCCCACCCACCCTTAGCACTTTTTTTTTGTTTTATAAATAATCTTATTTTTATTTGTACATCATCTCGAAAGGCACTCTTAATTTATTAAATTTTAATTTGCTTTTTTATTTCATTTTGTTTTATACAACAACAACAACGAACTATTATTGGACCAAAAAACAACCCCCTATAGTTTTTAAGCCAATTCCATTTTGTTCCCTGTTTTTTTGATTTTTTATTTTCACATTTTATTTTTCTTTTGCATGTTTTTTTTTTTTGTTTGTTTCCCATCACAACAACAACGACAACAAATTTTTTGTTAATTATTGTATTATTTTTTTATATAATTTTTAAACATTTTTTTGGTACATTTTTCCTTTAATTTCCTCCTTCATGCATCCTGGGAGGAAAACGAAAGAATTTAATATTTTTTAATATTTTTACCAACTCTTTTTTATGTGTGTTTATTTTTTTTTATTAATTAATTTTATTATTATTTACATATATATTTTAAATGTAACTATTATTTTTTGTGTATTAAATTAGGTATGTAGATTTATGTGTAGTAGTATTATTTAAGATTTTTCAATTATTTCAATAAAAAAAATATATTGAATTGCAAAAATAAAAAAATCAAAAAAAAAGAGTTTTTATTTTATTCATTTTACAAAAACAATTTTTTTCAAAACTTTTTCTTTTTTTAAAAAAATATTTTTCTAATTTTTATTTATTTTTTTTAATTATTTTTTTAAATTTTTTTTCGTGATAGTTGCACGCTCTTGCCCGTTTAGAGGTCAAAAGCATCTCTTCTTTACACTGACAGATTGTCCAAATATTACTAATATTCCGTACTAATTACTTGTCCATATTCCCTTCACCGTGGGTTGTGTTGTGATATTCGGCGTATAATTGTGGCCTATAGATCGACATAAAAAAAAAAAAAAAAAAAAAAACAGTAAGGAAAGTAGTAAAGTCGGACTGTGCGGACTATATGATACCCTTCACCACTTTGGGTACATTGTACAAATCAATCCTCATAAATTTTATATTATGGTGCACTCGAAGGAAAATACTTATGCCTTTCTGCAACCTATGCTAATTTTATTTTCATTCGGGCAAATTTTGAGTCGTCTGCGAACCATGCGACAAATTTATGGAAAACGACATTCACGTCTCAATTTGATACGTTGTGCAAAATTTCGTGTTAATCTGACAAACATTAGGAGTTTGTTTCACCATTTAGGTAAAATCTGACGAGTATATATGTATATGTGGGAAAAATGAACCGATTTTCCCGAAACGTAAAACACAACATTCTAGAAGCAATTCAGTACGCTATGTTAAATTTCGTGCAAATCCAAGGATACAAAGATACGTTGGTGCACTATTTACATAAAATCAGACGAATATATATGCGAGCTATATCTAAATCTGAACCCATTTTCACGAATTTTAACACTCATCGTTCCCTTACTCAATTCAGTACAATATGTCAAATTTAGTCAAAATCGAAGGATATATAAGAACTTTGGTGCACCATTTACATAAAAGCGGACGAAAATATATATGGGAGCTATATATAAATCTGAACCGATTTTCACGAAACTTAGCACACATCATTCTGGACCTAGTTCAGTACCCTATGCCAAATTTCGTGCCAATCGAAAGATATTTCGGGACATCAGTGCACCATTTACCGTAAATCGGACGAAAATATATATGGGAACTATATCTAAATCTGAACCTATTTTCATGAAATTTAACACACATCGTTCTAGACCTAATTCAGTACACTATGCCAAATTTCGTGCATATCGATAGATATATAGAGAGTTTTGTGCACCATTGACATAAAATCGGACGAAAATATATATGGGAGCTATATATAAATCTGAACCGATTTCAATAGGGTTCGTCCTTGGGCCAAATGAGTGAGCTGTGGCAAATTTCATCCAAATCGGATCATAAATGCGACCTATAATTTGTTTACAATTTAACATGGACAGACGGACGGACATGCATAAATCGACTTAAAAAGTGATTCTATGCATATTCTCAAAAGGAACCATGTGTCTATCTCGTTTCCTTTTGCCTGTTACAAACATATGCACAAATACATAATACCCTATACAACAGTGTGGTGAAGGGTATAAAAATGAAATTCTTCGGTCCACTTCATCCCAACATTATCTGATCATCACCGAAAATTATAGGCGTTGTCATTGACCATAACTGGAACCTCATGGAACATTTCAAAGCGATCAGCGCAATATTTCCGCCCTCTAGTGTAGTAATGGTTTATTAAATCCTATCTGAACACGTAAGCACCTGTAAATATTTACGTGTAACTCCCACATCCGAGTGGGCGGTAGTTGATATCAATTTAAAGGCCAACCCCTCCTCTTGGATATACTATCAACTTCTCAGGTCTATGTTCTTCAGGATTAAATATATACACTATAGAATACAAATTTTGTAATTTTTCACACAAAAGTCAGGGTCCATTTGACCCGCTAAAACAAGCATGCTTTTTCTTTGGCCTATCCCCTTCTCTATGAAAAATTTCGCTATGTTTGGGCCATAATTGCGGCCTCTGGAACGAGCAGAAAAACCTTTAAGTATACCGATCATCATATCTCGACTAGCTGAGTCGATCCAGACATGTGTGTCCGTCCGTCTGTCCATTCATGGGTTCTTGCCAATGAACACCCCTATTGTTTTTGGTAAAGATCGGTTAATATATAGGGGATGAAATGGACCAAAAACTTTATTTTTGTCTGATTTTCTGATTTCTCCAGAGGCCGCAATTATTGCCCTAACATCGCGAAATTTTACGTGGAGAAGGGGATCGGGCCAAAGAATAAGCATGTCTATTTTGATAAAGCGGGTCAAGTTTGCACTGACTTTCGCCCCTGAAGGGCCTAGACTCGAGAAATTGTTACAGTATTTTTCGGTTAATTGCGCATCAAAATTTGCAAAAATTTTTGTTCAATTAACCGAGGAACCAATTATCCGCTTAATTGAGTAGTTTGTTCAATTACAGTAATCACGTGAAATGGGAACTACTATTGATTTAAAAAAAATCCAATGTCAAATACAAATTATGCTTTCTCGCAGTTTTTCCTTAGAAATAAACATATGTTTAGAATTAGTAGAGATGCCACCTAGTCTTTTTCACAAATTATGTCAAATATGTATGTAAGAAAATGGCAGATTATTTTTCAATTATTATTATGCAATTAACCGGTAAAATGTTAAAGAAAATTTATTTTTGATGACATGCATTTTGAAACGATAATATAGGATCGCTTTGAAATTTCCCATGAGGATCAAGTTATGTTCAAGGAGAACGCCTATGATGATCAGATAATAATATTGGGATGAAGTAGACCGAAAACTTAATTTTTTAATTTTCGGAATAAAAATCCGCACAAAGTTAGAGTTCTGTGGTAATTGTGTAGGGTATCGTATGGTCGGCCCTGTCCGACTATACTGCTCCGCTTACTGGATTTTTTAATAATTTAATAGACAATATCGTTTTTCTTTCTTAGCTTTATTTGTTGTGCAGTTTATATTAGATATTATTTTTTATTTTCTATTTTTCTTTTTTTAATGGGAAATAAAACATTGTCTCTTACAAAAAAAAAAAAATAATAATAAATGAGTTCAAAAATGCACATATGAAAAAAAACAAAAATTTATTTGTGTTAATTCATCGAAGACGAAGGTAAAAATATTGAAACTTAAATTGAAAAAAAAAATAGTAAAATTAAATAGTAACAAAAAACTTGTGGTTATGGACGTCAAATATTCTATTAAAAATTATCAATATATAATATTTACAACGTTAGAAGGCTCTTGTTATAAATGTTCTTTATTAAATATGTTGAAATTAAAAAATTAAAAAAAAAAATATTAATAATTGTTAAAATGAAAAAATCTAAATATATGATGCTTTTAAAATAAATATTATTAAGAAATGTACCAATAAAGCTCAATGGACCATATATAAAATATAACACTTATATCGTGAGACATATTTAGGGAATTTATCAACAACAACAACATATATATTTTATCGTACCAAATATTACATTTAAAATGAAGTAAAAAAGAAACATTTTTTTTTGAAAAAATATACTAAAATAATAAATGGATTTATTCAATTACTGTATACAGCTACATATATACGTATAATAAAAAATGTTATATTATATTAAATTAAATTAATAAATGTTATTAAATATTAATGAAAAAATAATTGTTTTAATTAAAAAAAAAATGTGTTAAAATTTTTCAAAATTCCACGCCTAAAAAATATATTTTTTTAATCCACGCTTGTTTACAGTACATACATAATATAAAAAAATACACGCTTTTATAGTTTATAGCTCTTTTTCTTTTATTGAAAAATATTTAAAAAATACTAAAATCATTTTGAAAAAAAAAACATAATAAAGTAAAAACTTAATTATATGAATTATA